CTCGTAGCCAGTGCTCGACAGCCATCATTCATCCACTCATTCAAAGTAGTGAAAAAGGTTGGTCAAAGTGATCACTGAATGCTTTACTTGGATTCCTTAAGCTCGAAAATGTTAGAGAAACTTATGTGATCCAAACTTCCAAGCTATGCTAACTTATGTGATGCAAACTTTTACCCAAACCAACCTTTTTCCTTTACACATTTTCCCCTACATGAACTTATGCCATACAAACTTTCACTCCAGATTAACTTTGTCTCATGTGAACTTTTCTCCTTAACAAACTTCTGCCACACAACCTTTCACACTGGATTACCCCTTTTTGCATTAACAAGGCCTTGCCCTGGACAAATACCATGCACATAAACTTCTTTCAAACACACTCACAGCAAATCTAAACTTCTCTTTCATGACCATTTGTCCATAAAAACAATGACCCACTTACAATCTTATAATACTTTGTCAACTGAACTTTGGCCTTTGAAATGGTGACTTGTAAAAGGTTTTTTGAATGGTTGAGAATCAAAATATTCAGTCATCCAGTCATACAGGTATTCAAACATCCTATTCTAGCCTGAGCAGAATATGCAATGTTAGGTATGCCTTACATCCCAGTCTACAAACTTGGTACATTTTTTACATGAGCTTGTTGGGCCTGAGCTCAGGGCAGGATTGATATTTGAGCAGGTTCAGGAAGTTTAGGAGCAGGAAGACCTCAACCAGGGCACCTGATGTAATTTTGGGGCATCCCCTGAATTGGGGCACAGATCAAGCGGGAGTGGAAAAAAATCTGTAGTACACTATGGTGTATTCCAAATGACAGAGCATGATCAACTAATTTAAGGGCAGCCCAGAGACAAAATGTCATAGCTGTCCCAACCAATGCCACATCCTATCTGGTCCCACATACAGCTGCTAACACATCTGCTGAGGCCAGATGTCCACCAAATGAAGTAAAGGCTGCGACAACACATATTGTCCATGCAGGAAGACTCTCATTTGTAATAGCTTCCACTGTTTGGGTGAACAAATAAACTAGCCACAAACAACAGCACAACTCTGATAGACCGATAGTGGTGGCTTTGTTGCTTTGACCTTTTATTGTTCCTGCTCTTCACATCTTTGCATTTACACATACTGCGACTTTGGTAAGATATAGACATAAAACAAAAATTGGATGGCAAATTCAGTGTGACTTCAGCCTGCGTCTCTGCTTTGTTTTTATAAAACAGGAACAAAAAGTATTTCACACACGCAAGTCACATCATCAGGAAAACTTCGGTCATCACATACCACTATTACATATCAGCTCCCCATCATCACATCTTATGAGCCCATCTACGTGTCACGGATACTGATCCGGCACCGCACTGATACGATCGAACATGCCCTAACCATACTGTGGACCGTTTTGCCATCTCTGGCGGACTGCCTTGCACCGGCGATACCTGTTACACCATAATTCGACAGGTAAGAACACACAAAATCTTACACGGCACTTCGCCGTCGTCATTTGACTATCTGCTTCTTTGAAAACATTATCTATTACCTGACGAGACACCACCAAGCGGTGTTCCCGCGGTCAACACCCCACGCAATCCCACGCGAACAACCTGCACACGCTGGCTGTGGAAGATGGACAATGGACACCGCTCAAGGCTGTATAAAGAAAGTCGGACCGTCTTGTGATTTTAGCGCCACAACCGCTTTAAGTAAGAGTGACGTCACTGGAGCAATTCCTCGGCAGGTGCCTTCAGCAGGCGTCGTACGCGGCTCCGCGTGCTGCGTAATATTCCGGATAGAATTATCGCCAAATTGCTCGTCTGTGGGTTGCAGTCATTTTAGCTACTGTATACGATACTTGGAGTTAATGAATTTATTTTTTTTTCATTTATGTCGACAACTTCGACCAATGTGATCACATAAAAAGCGACCTCGGTTTGGAGTCGGATCTTTGAGCTAGATGGCAGATGCATTGTCCTCACTTAGTGGATCTGTTAGGGATGGTGCCAATACAACGAGCCCGGCTCACGTAGTCAGACTCACCGTTCTGGCCTCCACCATCGCTTGTTTCTGTGCCACTGATGCGCACGTGCTAACGGTCCTCGAGTCAGCCAGCTTGGAGGTCAAGCCGTTGATCTCGACGTCCCGGCTGGGCTAGGCCGGACAAATCGTGATGCGCCAATTGCGAAGCGCGGCGGGCGGTTGCACTGCTTCCCAAGCAGGCCTCAGATAAACAGTCGGGTGATAGATGCCGCTGTGATCTCAGCGGCCTCCTAACAGTACCCGGACCACGCGTCCCAAAGTGGCCAATGAGACACCTCGACAGGCTCCATGCGGTCTGGACCACGCGTGCCGCCGTGATGTTGGCAGGCTCCACACAGATCCCAGGCCATGCGTCCCAAGGTGGCCGCCGTGACGTATGCAGGTTCCACATACAGCTCACCTCGTGCGGTCCCGGATGGTACAGGTCAAACATATAGCCCGGTCCACGGATCCCGAGGTGGCCGTCGCCATCCCAGTGCGGTTGCCAAACAGAAGGTTGGTTCATGAATCATAAAGCGGCCGGCCACCAGCCCCACTGCTATTAGTTCAGAGCGTGCACGGTCCATGATGTCTTAAGTTAAAAATGTTTATGGTTCGAAATGCCGCCAAATAGTTCCACCTGTGTTCGTCAGGGACGGAGCCTCGCCGCTATGGCTGGGATAACGGCACTTGGGACTGTAATGCCATTTCCTGCCGGTGGGTATGCAGTCGAGCAACATTATTGCCAATCGCTTTACGCGATCGGCTGCGTCGGCTGATCAGATGATTATTCGCGCCGTTTCCACTCGCGTTAACTTGATTGTTGTCCTGCGCGTGGGAAGAACTTGACGCTTGTACGAAAATGTGCTAATTGGTTGGTCGGTGAGAAGGTTCTCAGTTGAGGAGAGAAGACCAGTGGAATGTCAAGCAGGAGGGTTGAAGGGAGCATACAGGGCATCACTTCATACGCTTTAGGAGGGCCTGAGTCCCCCCCCCCCCCCCAACGCTGACTTCAGCTCCCCTTCCCCGTTACTCATCTGAGCCCCCTCAACGCACATAAGCAAACATGGAACACTGGGCCGAGGAATTCATAGCAATTATATTTATCATTGGCATACTAGAAAGTAGATGCCTAAATACATCACTACTAGTATCATGTAAATTTTGTGCGAAATAGTACCACGTGCTGTCTGATTTTTTTGTCACCCCATCCATTTCATTTGTTAAGCCAGTCTACAAACGTTTGACAAGCTTTTTCCAAATGATAGCGTCAAGAATGATTGACTGCAATACGTTGAGCTTTAAAAAGTACAGGCAGTGGCCAAGCTAGAAGTTAACGCATGTTTT